CAATATTATCCAATTCAATTCAACATTCCCAAACATCATACAATATCATAATCCATCCATACAAATACTCAACAACTCAATTACACAATCCTACCAACAATCCCAAACACAAAGTCTTGAATTTCCATCATGAATTTTGCCTAAGTTACCAAACATTTCATCAATAATTTTTATTGCATTTATCACTCTAAAACATCATTCTAAGACATATTTATCTAATACACAATTTTCATTTGAGCTCTCTAACAACATCAATCACACAAATAAAGTCTAGGGTTCATGAATTTAAATCCAACAAATTAATCCATGAAAGGTGTTGAAACTTACCCACAATCAAGTCACAAGACTCCTCCTAGTGATCTCCAAGCAATGGCTTGAGCAATCAACTCCAAAATCACAAAATCCTTCAAAATTTCGTGGCTGACTTTGCCCATTTTCTCACAAATGAGAGGGTTTCAAGGGAAACTAATCGGTGGGATGTGTTCGGATGATGGTTTCCAACAACTTTGCTCACAAACTTTCCTTGATTCGGGGTTGTATGGAGGGAGTTATGAGGGAAAGAAAATTAGAAGCCAAGCTTCCTTCTCCATCAATGGTGGCTGCTGGTTTGGGTGGGGGAAGGAGAGAGAAAGACCAGATTTTTATGTTGTCCAAGGTGGCCAAGTCCACTTAAGTGAAGTGGGCCCACCGCCACCTCACGCGATTTCAATCTAATTCGAATCTCCTTCTGATTCCACTAAACGTCCATAATTTCATAAACTATTTACAAACTCTAATTTTAACATTAACCATTGTTCTTTAATTACCCTTGATCAGATAAATACGGAGTTTTTCGGTCGTTCGGAGAAATTGCAGTTTTAAGCTATTACGCGCGTTGTGGGCACGCTTCCCCAAACTTACTAATTTCCATCAATTTTCACCATAAATCATATTTCCTAGTCATATATACCATTTATAACTTAATCCAAACCTAGAGCTCAAAACTCAATCGACACGTTTTACGGTGCAACTGTACCGCGATATTTTTACCCGGTAAAAACACTATTCACCGAATTTTCCGAAACTTGCCTAACCACTCAATTTTTCGTTCTGAATCCATTTCCTGGGTTATTTTTATCATTTGAGACTTCCTACTCAATTTTACCTTCCTAAGGTTACGTGTTTGGCTAATTACTGTTTTACCCTTCCTTTAAATTTTGGCCTTACTTTCAGGATTTTCACTAATCCTACCCTTTAATCCACATTTAATATACAATTACATGTTTTAGAATTGTGAGGTGTTATAGGTTCCACTAATTTCGGCCCACAACAATAAAATAAATAGAAGTAAAACTAAAACAATGGCCTTAGGTCTCAACAGCATTGGGTTCTAATTACAAACTTAAATTCATAAAATTCCAGCAACTTATTTCCAACTTGAGTTCTAATTTCGACCATCTTCTTGTCCGAACTGGGCTTTCATGTTTGCATAGTATTTGTAACCCTCTAAGTTATTTGTAATATGCAACAAGAACAAAGTCAATCGGACACCTGTGGAGAGAGATATGGTCAAGATGCTAAAGTAACATAAAGCTGAAAATTAATGATGAAAATAAATTAAACCTAATAAACAACCAAAAATCTAATTTAACTCAAAAGACCATTATTTTCATTCCAAATATTAATCAAGAGTGATAAATAAGTGCAATAAAATATCCATTATTAATTGGTCCATTATCAGACACATGTATTCAGATATATAATGAACTAATTGAAAGCGTTTAATCGATCGTTTAGTAGAAAATATGACTAGGTTATCAAAGTAGTCAATTTTGTTTAGTTACTTTGACTTTCCATGTAATTTAGCATACATTTGACTTGTATTTAATTAAACTTTGACTTAATTTTATAAATTAATCTAATCATCATTAGACAATTCTAAGACGACTTCTAGTCTTTACAATTCCCTAAAGAATTTAATTAAGTAATCAAAGTCAAGCTTAGGCCATTACTTTGCATATTTGTAAATTAGTTCCTAAACTTTCATATTTTTGTACTTTGACGCGTAAACTATATTAATAATTTCATTTGAGTCTAATTTACTTCACTTAGCATGAATTGTATTTACATTAATTATCATGCCAATTCATTCAATTACTCAACCAAACTTAGCATCGAAAGCTTACTTAATTCAAAATTAGTATAAACTAGTAACCAACCTTATGTTTATCATATAATTTCAATATTTTCTAATGAAGGTTGTTATATTTGACTGTTTCTAAAGAGAGTTACCATAACTGTGGTTTTTGTAGGAGCAAAAGGACATGATGTTGGGTTTTGCGGAGATATTGAATCAGAGGATTCAGAAGAAGCAACTTTGTTTGATTACTTCTAGGTAGTGTTTGATTCGGGAGAAATTTTTTTTTACTAGGAAAATGTAATTGATAGGGAAATGGTTGGAAAGTGAGTTTGGTAGGAAAATGTAAAAAAAGTTGTTTGGTTGACCCAAATATTACCAGGGAAATTTATTTAAATATGCAAAATCTATGTTCGGGAGAAACTTTGCACCTGTTTTTTCACTTCCCCAGTTATCAAAAAATTCCACATCGCAAGTGGTATTCTGTAACAGTGAATTTCATCCAAAAATCAACACAAAAGTCATTTTTCCATCTATCCTATTTGTCTGGTATTTTTGAAAAAACCTGAACCAAACGTGATATTTTTCAATATCTACTTACACTTTCCCATCAATCCCAAAATAAACCTTCAACCAAACGGTACCATTTCATTCAGTAATTTCATTAAGTAAAAAATCGAAAATCTAGAAATAGAATTAAAATAGAATTAGATTACCTGTCCGATCTATACCTACATAGAAATTATAAGAATATATAGAGAGAATTAATTTCTTTTTATTTCTACCAATTGGTATTTTGCAATGTCGCCAATTTAGTTGAAGAAACAGAGTACAAGCGAGAATGAGATGACAGTTGGGAGAGGAATGAAAATTCTAATGAAAATAAAAAACTAATAAAAAATAAAATTTGTAATGCCAATTAGGATATGTGCATTGGAATAATAATCCACGTGTTTTATTCTAAATGGAAGTAGTACTGAGTAGTGGTAACTACGGTAGTACTCTAGATTTTCCCCTTCAAGTAATTGTCTTTTTACTCGAAAGAAACAGTTTAGTTATTTTTTATCTGTGTGTTTTGATGTACCTAAAAGTTGCTAACCATGGAATTGTTATTTGATCCATTTCATTGGGACTTAACAGTGTTAGAGTCTAAAAAGGCCCGAGCTTAATGGTAGTGTCTTTGGATCGGCTTGAAGGCACAACCCAATCACAATGAAGAGATCAATGTGTCTGTAATGTACCATGACATCATGTCTAGAAAACAAGCACTATTATGATAGAGTATTACCTATTTAATATCTGAATGAAAAGAGAAATATAAAATTTTCATGAAACATGGTCAGGTGAAACTTTAATATAAGATGGTTTATTTTAAAGGTTCATTTTTTCTCCGGTCAATGTAAATAAGTTATTTATATTGAGCCCAAACGAAAATCAAGATATTTTTGTAATTATAATCTATTTGAGGGTTATAATAGTCTTTTTCTATAATTTTTTAATCTTTCAACTTAAAACAACGTTGTTTTAAGAGTAAATATAGATAATTTATCTATATACAATGTATAAACATTAAAGTCTTATTTTAAAAGGAATATTACTCTCATAGACTCACAAATCAAAGTAGATCAAATATCTTAAAAACTTACATCAGTGATAGAAAATAATAAAATAAAAAAGTCTAAATCAGAAAGAAAATAGACTAAAGAACAAAAAATATAACCAAAAATACAAAAAATAAATTGATATATATATATATATATATATATTTTTCACTTTTAGTCTTTTCTATAACTGCTAAAAGAAATGGAAGAAACAAAAGTAAAAGAAATTAGTTTGTAAATTTTCAACATCTTTAGTGTTTTTTTTATTTTGGTCCTTAATCTATTTTTTTTTTATTTAAGCATGTTTGGTCTTATTTTTCTTCTATTTCTTTTTTGTCTTCAATTTAATTTTTTAGACTATTTTTATTTTTTTCTTTTAATCTTTTCTGCTATTATTATAAGTTTTCAATATATCTGGTCTTATTTATTTATTTTTGTGATCCTTCTATTTATTTATTTTTTGTCTTTTTTATAAATATTGTAAATTTCCTTCTATTCTTTTATTTTATTTTATTTTTGTCATTTAAGTATATTTCTAAAAAAGGTATAATACGTAGATTAATTAAGTTTTTTATGATGTTAAGAATGAACTTGGATGGAAAAAATCATAGGGAGGTAAGTGATTAAAAAAAAACTACAGGAGTATAAATAATTCAAAGCAAAATCATATGGAGATTTTTGAACTTTTCCCTTCAAAGAAATTTACATGACTTTATCATTTTAAAATATAATATTTATCTCTTTTTTATAAACTATTTATTTCTCTTTTCATATAAATTAATGGGGAAAAATGTTTATCCTTCTAAATGACACAACTTATATCATTTCACTCTCATAAAGAGGTGAGACTCATACCTTTATTTATTTATTTGTCAACTCTCTCTCTCTCCTCCTTTATCTATCTCTTTCTCTCTTTTAAAATAACATAACTTTACGTCATTTAAAATGACACACATTTTTCCCAGATTTATTAGGTAGAACTGTAAAATCCTTATTATAATTTGTGAATATTTAATGTTCCGAGCTCAATGATTGGGCTTTGAACAGCTCAATACCCCTTTTACTCTTTAGGGCATCTTCTCCTCCTTCATTGGGCCAGCCCGAAGTTATGCTGACCTTAATTGGGCCGGATCCACTCTGATTGGGCCCATTCGCCAATTCACCCAGCCCGAAGTTATGCTTGCTCTTGTGCTTCTCTGCGTATATAAATCTAATTTGCAACTATGTCCCTGTGTCTTCAGAACTACTCTGCATTTATTTACACACAAAAAAAAAAAAAAAGAACTACTCTGCATTTTGGTGAAGTCTTCTTTCTTCTCTCTCTTTTCACTTCTCAAGCTATGCGTCATAACATGAAAGCTATTGTTCCGTGATTTCTCCACGGAACTTTAAAACACCCCCTCCGAAAAAATGGGAAATTCATCTCTTATTGATAAAACGACGCTGTTTTGTGGTTGGAAGCGGTGATGTTGAATAATGGTTACGAGTTTATCAACTAAACTTCTGAACATAAGCATATCCTCAATGTGTAAAGCAAAGCAATTAGCAAGAGCCGAAGACGTTATAATTGACGGCATAAGATTAGGTGTGCTTCCAGATGTTGTCACATACAACACTCTAATCGATGCGTATTGTCGTTTTGTCAGCATCGATGCTGGTTATGCCGTTTTGCATAGAATGAAGGAAGCAGGGATAAACCCTGATGTTATTTCCTACAACTCATTGATCTCTGGTGCTGCTAGAAAATCGTTGTTATCAAGGTCCTTGGACCTGTTTGAAGAAATGCTCAAGTCTGGTGTGCACCCTGACATGTGGAGTTACAACATATTGATGCATTGTTTGTTCAAGCTTGGGAAACCTGATGAGGCAAATCGTGTTTTTAAGGATGTTGTACTTAGTGGTGAACTGTATCCGAGTCATTCTACTTACAATGTCATGATTAATGGTTTGTGTAAGAATGGATATGTTAACAATGCTTTGATGTTGTTTAGGAACTTGCAGCGGCACGGGTTTGTTCCTCAGGTGCTGACTTATAATGCTCTTATTAATGGACTTTGCAAGGCGAAGAGATTGGGCGCGGCGAGGAGGATTCTCATGGAATTTGGTCAATCAGGGTATGAACCTAATGCTATTACCTACACTACGGTTATGAAGTGCTGTTTCCGGTGTAGGCGGTTTGAGGATGGGTTGGAGATCTTGTCAGAGATGAGGAGCAAAGGGTATACATTCGATGGATTCGCGTATTGCACGGTGATTGCTGTGTTGATAAAGATTGGAAGGATCCAAGAGGCTGATGAAATCATTGAGCAGATGTTGAGTAATGGTATTGAGCCGGATTTGGTGTCGTATAATACGTTGATAAATCTTTATTGTAGGCAAGGGAGATTAGATGATGCGTTGAAGTTGGTGGATGAGATTGAGAAAGAAGGTTTGGAATGTGATCAGTATACGCATACAATTATAATTGATGGGTTGTGTAAGGCTGGAAATTTTGTGGGGGCTCAACAGCATTTGGATTATATGAATACTTTGGGGTTTGGTTATAATTTGGTCGCTTTTAATTGTATGCTTGATGGATTGGGTAAAGCCGGTCATATTGATCATGCCATGAAATTGTTTGAAGCTATGGAGGTTAGAGACTCTTTTACGTATACCATCTTGGTGCACAACCTTTGCAGAGATAGAAGGTTCCTTTGTGCATCCAAGATTTTGGTTTCTTGTTTAAAATGCGGCTTTCAGGTCTTGAGGGCTACTCAGCGAGCTGTTATTGATGGTCTCTGTAGTATTGGGTTTACAAATGAAGCTAGGAAACTTAAATCGAGAATCCGAATTGCTCGACTGTTACGTTGATTACATGGCAGTTGGTGTTTGGATTTTTGGATATGTATTTATTATTGGAGGCCAAAATTTCCTAGTCTCACCTTTCTGCTTGAAAGCCAAAATTGCATATTAAGGGGTTAATTAAGGCTAGAACTACACAGCAGGTATTCCAACTCTGATTATAGTGGCCTTGGATACATTCAAACTTGAATTCAGTAGTGAACCTTGCATCAAATTACCATAGTTATTATGTCCAGATACATTTGAAATTTCTGTTTGTCGGCAGAACAAATGGAGCTGGTTACAATATTTGCTCAAGAATGGGGTTGAGTGTCATTTCCCCAAACCTCGAATGGAGCCTATAATTTTCCATTTTTTTCTTCATTAAATGGCCAGTCTATGCTACACACTACATTCCTTTCACATTGTTATAGACAGTACATAGTTCTATATCATGACCAAGAATGTGGTTCAATGTATCATGCAAATATCTGAAAGGAATTGGGTCATAAAACTTGATCTCAGCTGTCTTATTATAAATTAGGATAATTGTCTCCATGTGGTGTAATTTATCTCACCGACATTTCTTCAGATTGATATCTCACCGACATTACTTGAGTTATCAGCAGTAGTTTATCACTTTTAAGAACTTCTCTCTCGGACATATTTTATGGGATTATAGATTTAGTGTTTTTAGTTTGGACTTTTAAGTTTGAATATTGTCAAATGCCTAATTCAACTAATAGAGCCATTATTTGGAGACTGTGTAAGTGAATGACCAGCGGTTTCTTCAGTTTCTTTCTTTTTATTTACGCTTCTGTTACATGTTCACTGCACAATTTTGTTGGTTTTGCCTCTGATTTTGTTGGATCCTTCTTTTCTGCTGCTCAGTGCCAAGTCTTACTTTCCATTTTCTTAAGCTACCCTGTCAGGTTGTCATCTTCTAAACTAAGTTTTATTCTGTCTTTTCAATTTGAAGTTGATACTATGTAACCATGTTTTTCTTTGCTATAGCCTAAGTGCATGGGTTGCACTGTTCATTAATATTATTTGATATCTAGCGTGTTATACAAATTGCAAACTCTGTTATACATGCGAGCTTGAAGGCAACTGGGAATGTAAACTCAATAATGGTGAAATTAGTTGGACAGCGTAGAACTATTTAGACAACAATATTATGTTATTCCAAACAAAAACAGTGTGAAATATTTTCAATGTTTTCCAAAAGCCTCTTATAATTGCAGGCAGTTTTACATACCTCTTTAAACAAGCTTCAAAATAACCCACCAATATAACAATTGGCATGCATTGTACAGACTTTTTTAAGTTTCTTGCTAGTATGATAAACCCACCAAAATAAGTTGTGCTATCTTCAGCTTCACATCGGAAATGAGGGAATTCTTTTTGATCATGCTAAGTACATCTTGATCGTACATTTGTTTTGTTGCTGGAGAATTTTGTTTTTCTCTTCTTCAGTGACTTGAACGAGGAAATATGTGGTCAGATCCTGTTTGGGTGCTGAGAAAATATAAGAAAAGAAGATGTAATCTTCACCATTGAGAGAAAATACCTAGATAAATTCTAAATTTTTATTTTATTAATCATGAACTCTCTTTGCCTGGTTGACTGTCACATTATTATAACCGAATTGTGAGGTTGACTGCTTTTTCAGGGTCTAGGCCACATGATCTTGAATCTCAGAAAACGTGGGAGGGAGAGGCGGGACACATCAAAATATATGTTGGCTTTTCCAAAGTTTTTCTTTCCTATACGGACATTTCCTCCAATGTAAGTTGCCTAACCACTATAACATCTGTGCATAAAGTTAAATTTTGATTTTATCATTTGGTTGTATTTTCATTCTTAGAAATTAAGTTGTTATTTTTTGTAATTGGTCAAGGAATTAGTTGATTCATCCTTTCCATATTTTCAATTTTTATTATAGGGTGTTATTGCACTTTGTGGGATGACTGATGCAGAAGACAAGCATATACTGATTTGCTCTTGCCGAGACAATTCAGTTCGCCTCTATGATCTGCCATCGTAAGTGAACTTAAACTTGAATTCATTTTGTTCAGTAACTTATTTTTGTGTTGGGCAATTTTTGCAGCCCCTGACCATGTCTATGTCTTCCTTTACAGATTTTCAGGGATGGGTCGATTATTTGCCAAAAAAGAGGTTTGATCACTAGAGATAGGTCTTGGGGGGCTCATCTTCACTGGAGAAGGGACTAGTTTGCTTACAGTTTGGAAATGGCTGGAAGTGCCCAATGTTGGGTATGGCTAATACTTCGCATGTTGATGAGGACCCTAGTTGTCGAGGTCAGCAGAAAGGCAACTGGGGTTCCGCTCCCAGGTGAACGGGCAGGGGTCTGGGGCAGCCGCCTTGGCGGGGGTCCGGGGGGCAGCGCCCCCAGGTCCGTAGAGGCTAGGTACTATTGTAGGCCTCTGTTTTATTGTAATTTTCTTAGCGGTTTGGGCTTGGGCCCATGAATAGCTGCTGTTATGGTTTTCTAATTCTATATATATTTTCTTTGTAAACCGAGTGACTTGTAACGAGTGGCGGTGAGGTGAATATAGTACAGACAAGCTGGATGTAGCCTATATTGGGTGAACCAGGGTAGATCGTTGTGTCTATTCTCTCTTTCTCTCTCTTATTCTTTTTCGTTTTCGATTTGTGTGATTGTCGATTTCCAACATTTGGTATCAAGAGCTTTGGTTCTGCGACCGGGGTTCCTGTGACAGATTGGGGTTTCGTGATTTGGGGTTTTTTCTTGGCATAGAGAAAACTGCAAAATTGATCTGGAGAGGATGTCGACTGGCCAATCACGGATCGAGGTTGAAAAGTTCGGAGGAAAAGGGTTCAAGTTATGGAAGCTGAAGATGGAGGCTCTGCTCGTTGACAAGGACGTGTGGTACGCGATCGAAGATGATAAGCCATCGGTACCAACCAAACCTGTCGGTGATGAAACGTCAGGTGAAGGTGAGTTGAAGGAGTTGAAGGCGTGGACCAGAGACGATCGAAAGGCGCGAAGCCTGATCTGGTTATGCCTGGCAAATAACGTTCTGGTGAACGTAACTTTTGAGAAGACCGCGAACGATCTCTGGACGAAGCTGAGAGGTCTCTATCAGAGCAAGTCACTCGTGAACAAGTTGTTCCTTCGAAGGAGGCTGTATAATCTGCGGATGAGCGAAGGTGATTCTTTCCCTGCTCATTTAAATGAATTTAATACTATTTGTGCACAATTTTCGTCTATAGACATTAACCTGGATGAGGAAGACAAAGCTTGCACCTTGTTGTGTTCATTGCCCAACTCTTGGGAGCACATCATTGTGTCAATTGGTACTGGTGTTAATAAACTGTCATTTGAGAAGGTTGTTGTTGCCTTATTGTCTGAGGAGATGAGAAGGGTAGGTTTTGAAGGTACCAGCAATGAGGCTCTGGTTGCTAGAGGGAGGAGTGGTGACAAATCAAAGTCTGGTCACAGAGGAAGATCGAGGGGACGGTCAAAGTCCCGTGATAAATCTGATAAATCTGAAATGAGGTGCTGGAGGTGCAAACAGGTTGGACATCTGAGAAGGAATTGCAGAAGTAAAAGCGTAGGTCCTGAGAAGCGGGATGATTCACAACCTTCTGCTTCGGGTACAAAGAAGAATGATGATGATAGTACAGGGGACCTGTACATGGCGTTTGACAGTCATAGTGACTGTAATGACTGGATTATTGACACTGGAGCATCGTTTCATATGACACCTCATACAGAATGGTTCTGCACCTATGAATTATATTCTGGCGGTACAGTTAGAATGAGAGATGACACGACTCATGCAATTGTGGGGCGTGGGAAGGTAAAGCTGAAGATAAGTGACGAGACAGTCAAGAATCTGCCGGATGTGATGCATATTCCGGGGCTAACCAGAAATCTGATCTCTGTTGGTAGTATGGCAGATGTTGGTATTAATTTTAGCAATTTTAGCAGTGACAAGTATTCTTGCAAGCTGACTCGAGGAGCTTTGGTTATTGACAAGTATTCAGTGGTGAAAGCTATGTTTCAGAACAGGCGGATGAGGACACTGCTATGTTGTGGCATAGGAGGCTGGGGCATATTGGAGGAAAAGGTCTGGAGACTCTGACATCAAAGAAGCTGGTGGATATTCCGAGCTGCTATATGGGGTTTGGATTTTGCGAGCATTGCCTGCAAGGGAAGCAAAATCGAGTATCTTTTGATTCCATAGGATGAAGAGCTGAGGGGATTCTGGACTTGATACACAGCGACGTGTTTGGCCCCACACCTGTAGCATCACATGGAAAATCAAGGTATTATGTTTCTTTTACTGATGATTTTTCAAGACGTGTGGTTATATTTCTTGCGCAGCAAGGATGAAGTGTTCGATAAGTTCAGCGAGTTTAAGGCTTTGGTGGAAAATTAGTTTGATCGAAAAATCAAGGTGCTGAGAACTGACAATGGAAGGGAACCCTGACCATGTCTATGTCTACCTTTACAGATTTTCAGGGATGGGTCAATTATTTGCCAAAAAAGAGGTTTGATCATTAAAGATAGGTCCGGGGGGGCTTATCTTCACTGGAGATGGGACTGGTTTGCTTACAGTTTAGAAATGGCTGGAAGTGCTCAAAGTGTCATCTTTTTGAGAAATGACCCTGAACAGCGAGCTGATATGGATTGTAACAAGATGTATATAATAGATGACAAATTCCAATTCCAATTCCAATTTTCTCTTTCTTGTGCTGTTAGTTCATTTTCTCTAGCAGAATATATCAGAAAGTGTCTTGTATAGCTCTGAATATTTTGTCAATGGAAACCATTTTTTTATCAACTTCTATGGGTGTCTGTACACTATAAGTTTTGCCTAATATGTTAATCATATTGCCCAAATAATTTTAAACGGTTCCTGTGACTGCTATTATATACAACTCAAGACCATTAAGAATTTCACTAGCAAAGTGGATTCTTTTACATTTAATAATGATTTTTGAATATTTGCAATCTGTTTAAGCGTGAGGAAGGCCAACTTAAAATTGATACTGATTTTGTCGTAATGCAACTTTGATGGCCGTTGTTGTTCATGACCTACTTTTCCTTGAGCTAGTATGCATCAGAACTTCTAGTGTGTAGGGAGATTCCTCAACTCTTCTTTTCGGCAATGTTTAAAAGTAAAAGATGAGTTTCTCTCCCCCTTTTTGACAATAATAATTAAAAAAAAAATAAGAGAAAAGATAGGGGGTTAAAGGGAAGCGTGGAAAACTACTATAATTGGGATAATAATAAGGGACTTGGAAAGTTTACAGTCATAAGTAGAAATCTCACTGTAATTGATTTAAAAAGAGAAAGAAAAAAGGAAGTGTAGAAAACAATATGTAAGAGTAAAATTTTTTAATTATGCTGAAGTATGAAATGCTTTTGCTATGCTGCTGACCTTGGGTTCCTTGCATATTATGACATACTTTTTCTTGAGCAAGTATGCTTGGGGCGTTTGGTACAAGGATTTTGGCCGGATTCTTGGAAAATTGAATTTTTTTAAATTTTAAATTTTCGGATATTATCGTAAACTGAATATAAAAATTATATTTTTGAAAATCAAGATTTCCGGACAAAAAAAATTTCTCATCTACCAATCGTAAGAATTTTTGGGGGATTCTTTATCTTTTCAAATCAGCAATTTGGAAAGTTAAAAGTCAGTTTGTTTTTTTATTCTTTAGGTGGTCTTTGCTCTCTTTTATTGTTCATAACTTATCTGTTATACAAGTAAACACGAATTTTTTTTTCTAAATAGCAATAATGATAACACTGCAGTAGTGGAGAAGCATAAACATTATGAAGATCTCAGAGTGCCTAGTAGTGTCAACTACCATCAATCAATTATATTAATTTAAGAGTAAACACCCTTTTTAGTCCTTGGCAATATCTACGAAGTCCTTTTCAGTCTCTGGCAATAAAAAAGGACCAAATTGGTCCCTGAAAGTACAAGAAAAGGGCCACTCTACATATTTGGGAGTTGACATAAGGACTAACATGGCCCTTTTTTTGTAACTTCAGGGACCAATTTGGTCCTTTTTTATTGTCAGGGACTAAAAAGGACTTCGTAAATATTGACAGGGACTAAAAAGGGTGTTTATTCTTAATTTAAAATCAAAACAAAACCGAAAAAGGTTTGTAGCATCTTATCACCTATAATTTGATAATATTATGAGATAGGATATCGTGACACCCAAATAAAGTTACGATCAATGTTACGACCAATCATCTCACTGTTAGATTGGTAGTAGCAATCCGATGGTCCTCATTAAACTCTAAATATCCTCAGTTTTCGCTGCTCTCTCTCCTTCCCCTTCTCTCTCTTCATTCATCAAATGACAAACAGAATTAGAGGGTATGATAGTATTCCAAACTAGTTCTGATTTTATCCAATCATTCATGCTTATGAAATCACGTGTTGTCATGTTTTTTAGTGTGTAATAAAATATTTTTTAGGAATGGGATATCTTGCAGTTGTAAGAAACACAACTATTTTGGGTTCTCTTAAGGAATGGTAGTGATTGCTGGCTTCAACAATCATGGGATGCACAGCAACATTAGCAAACACTAACAACCAGCATTTAACGAATTCATGTATCAACCACCATAAAGCAAAATGTATATGATTAAGAACGATCACAGGATGTATTATGGGGAAAACCACACCGCACTGCAATTAAGGCTATTTCTGATGATGGTCAAGGATATTTGGTGGACCCTCAATGGACAGAATATGTGCCAAATGGGTTAGTAAATAATGGGAAGGAGCTCGAAGACCTGCTTTTGGAATTCGATAAAACGTTTCTTGTGAACGATGGAATTGCTGCACTATGGGAATGGGATCCAGGTGGAGTTCATCATGCACCGCAGATTAGTTAGCCCTTGCATTTCAAGCATTGGGATCAGGGCATAAGGTTTTTGGGGGCTGAACTCACCTTGAGGGCAAGGTGAGTGTTTTTTGGGGGGGGGGGAGTATTGATAGGAATATATGTGTAGGTGTATGTAAGGTGGGTCGTAGGAGATTATGTTCTACCAATGAGATAGCATAACCAACTTTAATATATTCTAGGAGGTTAGGCTAAGTATAAGAGGGGGATATGTAGTGTGAAAAGGCATATTGTGAATTTGGACACACTTGGACTGGGAAACCAGATTGGGAGAGAATCAAAGCACTCTCGAATTGCTCTGAAATTATCTTTGTTTTTGTTCCTTTTCCATTGTAATTTTCCTCTGTTTTTCCTTACTGTTTCTGCAATTGTTTAACTGTAATTGTCTTTTCTAGTTCAATATATAGAAAATCCATATTGATTCTGGGCCATTTCCTTGGTGTTTTGTGCGCTATCTCTGATACATTTTCCAGATCCTATAAAATTCATGTGTCAACAACCATCATAAAGCAAAATGTATATGATTATTAAGAACGATCACACAACTTTCATTTACTCACTGGATAATCCAAAAAGCACTATAACTAAAGTTCAGAAAAGAAGATTGAAGAAACTAACTTAGAATCCAAGATGCCCATGCTCTCTCTCT